CACACACACACACACACACACACACACACACACACACACACACATACAAACATGCACACACACATACAAACATGCACACACGCACACAGCCAGGGTCACCGTAATATGCCTTTTTGCAATTTGCGTATAGGCAGAAACGCATAAAAACGATTAAAGTTCCCCGCAAACAACATTAATTTATGGCTGTGACGAATTTACCTACCGTTCAATATAGAAGTTTAAGGGAGCGAATGCTTCATACTAAATTCCTGCGTTTTCTCGTTCAACACAACGGAATACGGGCAACTGTATGCAGTCCGATCTTGCTCGCTCTCAACTGATTGAGTGCTTTCAGTTATCGAATGCCGATGACAGCGATTTGGATTCTTCACCGTCTACACCTCGGAACGCGCAGACAGGTGAAGAAGCAGCAGCTGCGGGTTCATCGGCCTCACCCCTTCTTCCAGCCCACGCTGCAAAGAAGAAAAGCGGTGGAAAACTGCATTTTGGTAATGCATTTCTGTTGATAGAAATGACAGTTCTAGCTCGCAGTGCCATCCGACCCCTCAGGCACACTGAATTCTTGTTATTAATTGCAAACTAAATTGTTCAAAAAGTGGACATTCATTTTTCGGGTACGCGCAGTAGAGACTGCGGTGGAGCGAGAAGTCAGGAATCCAATTCCGAACACTATGATAAATTTTTGTTTTTAATTGTGAAATAACATTTTTTGATTTTACTGTTTTAAAACATACCCTCTTGCACATGACACTTAGTTTGATCCTTTATCTGTTATTTCTGTCAGTCCGATCTGAAATATTCGTTTGTCGCAAATGTATATTCAAGTGCCTGCCAGGACAATAGTCCCACAGAGAATTGATGAGATTTAGCTATTTTGATCGCTACAAATCGATCAAAAAAGCTGTGTAATCAGATAGAAACATACATTCGTTGTGAGTTCGAATCACTGTGTCGCAAAAACGCACAACCACGCTGGTTCTGATGGTCTATACTGCTGCTCACTTGGAACACGACTAGTCTGCTGGACAAGTTACTGATGGAAAAAGATAATAAGTTGCTAAAAACGGTAGTTCAAAATCAGGATGAAAGTGACTGTTTGAGAAAAAGAACTCGGAAAATTGGTATCAAATTGGCTGAAAAAAAAAAGAAATTTTTCCTCTTGGATGAACGTTGTTAAATTGTGCTGCAAATTTTTCTGTTTAATACAAAATTTTGTTTAAGTCACTGCTTAGCAGTTTTTGTTTGTTTCAGCTTTTAATTTACTAAAATCGGTGCGATCTGATAACAATGACGAGTGTAGTTCCGATGTCGAAACGAATGACGATGAAAAAAGCCAGGTTTGAAAAGTCATGCATGTAAGCTGGAAATGAGGGGGCTTGAAGCTTTTTGTTTAATAACTATGAATTGTTGAGCAGCTGCCCAGCATATGAATGATCGGTGAATATAGTTTCCGATGGATTTAATTAGATAATTCAGAACGGAAGCACAGCACATGAAGAGCGGCGTGCCAGGAGCTCAATAGGTCAAAGACCTCAATCAAAAATTGTGCCTCTGCGGCAAAAATCCGCGGAATTCATGGATGAATGCCAAGGTTTGCGGGTTTTAAATAATTTTGTACCGAGATGTATCACTATGACTGAATTACTATGTGGGGCAGAAACTGACATGGAGGTGTGACGTGATGAAAAGGGAATAATTCAAATCCACTGAAACTGACAAGAGCTCACTTGAGATGTCACGGGTGTAGTTTTAGCTGAGTTCCTTGCGATCACAGGTGCAAAGGAATTAGGGTTCTTCGAATAGAAAGGATGGGCACCTCTGGTCGAGTTTTTATGCGTCGCTTTATTGGGTTTCCTTTACAGCTGAATTTCGAAATAGAAGCACCGGTTGTACCGTACGTCTTTGGTATTTAAAATGTCTGAAAACTACCAAAGTGCTAAAAGTATGCCAATATCTCCCGGTTGATCGGCCTGGGTGTCCCATGCTAGTGATTCTTATGCGTTTTTGCGGTGCAGCGCTAAAGCGCTACAACGGGCAGCAACCCAGGCTGGAACGCACCAGGCTTATCGGTGCGATCATACTTTTTTCCACGAAATTCGCAGATCGTTAATAGCAGGAGTGACCTCTGCGCTGTAGCCTGACAACTGGGCATGAAGCCCAATGGTTTTTATGCGTTTATGCCTATATGC